GGAGAGAGAGAAAACATGTTTCAGAAGAAAATTACAGTGCTCTTGTCACTAGATTCTAGCTTTGTCCATACTTTAAGATCTTTTGTGAATCAATAAAGTGTGAAAAAAGAAGTTTAGTATGGAAGGGAGGGAAGAGAATGGAAAAGGGAAAAACTGGAAAAAGCATGCTTAGTTGACACAAAATGAGAAGCTATTTGCTGATGATAATGTATCTAGTAACATCTTTGTCTTGACTGACATGCGTGGTGTTTGTGTTGGAAAAAGGAATGTATACTGTAAAGGCATAGGATTAAATATAAATAAAGTTAAAAATAAATAAGAAATTTTTGAAAAAAGAGGAAAAGAAAAGAAGACAGAAATAAGAACAAAAAATGACCAAGAAAAAGGCCAACTTAATGACAGGGACAAGTTTGGAAATAGCAATAATAATGTTGAATGCTAACTTCCAGGGTTTAAATTTTGTGGTAGAGTGGTTATTTGCATAAGCTCAGACCACAGTAACACTGCAAATTCAACAAAAGAGAGAGGACATGAAACTGAACTGGTGAAATAGAATTCTATGACTTTTCTCTAAAACATTACCGATTTTCTTCTACGCTTTGTCTTCCAGATTTTTGGGTTTCCTTGTGAGCTGTCTTTAGGTTCAGCAACTTGTTAATTTTTTTTTTAAATTGCAACATAAACTTTTCTCCGTTCCTGACCTCTTTGCAACTGAAAAATATTTGTGAGCCTTCTTGTTTTGTGGCAGAATGGTTATTGGCATAAGTTCAGTAATAATAGTATCTGTTGCCTTGCACCAGAAACTGAGTTCTTATGGGGCTTTGTGCAAGTAACAGACCTAATTGAGACTAACTGAATTTTTTTCACAAATAAGTTAGTTTATGCCTCTCTTAAGTAAAAGGGGAAATGGAGAGAGAAAAAGATGTTTCAGAAGAAAATTACAGTGCTCTTGTCACTAGATTCTAGCTTTGCCCATATTTTTAGTTTAAGATCTTGTGAGTCAATAAAATGTGAAAAAGAAAGTTTAGTATGGAAGGGAGGGAGGGGAAGGAAGAAGGGAAAAAAAAGTAAAAGTGTGATTGACAGAAAATGAGAAGCTGTTTGCTGATGATCATGTATATAGTAATATCTTTATCTTGACTGACATGCACGGTATTCAGCTGGAAAAAAGAAATGTTGTACACTGTAAATATGTATGTGATTAAATGTAAATAAATAAAAATAAAATTAAAATAAAGAGGAAAAAGATTTTTACACACGGATACAGAGTTGTGATAGTTTAGGGTGTCAACTTGATTGGACTAAGAAATATCTAGAAACCTGATAAAACGTTATTCTGGGTTTGTCCATAGTGGCGTTTCCGGGAGAGATTAACATGCAGGTCGGTGTGGGGAAGACACACTCTCAACAAGGGGCCTGGAGTCAACAAATATGGAAAACAGGTGGCTCTTTCTTTGGCCTAGACTGAGTTACATCACCACTTCCCTGCCCCTGAGGCCTTTGGACTTGAATGGAGCCATGCTACCAGCATCGCAGGCCTCCAGCTGGCAGACAGACTGTGGTGAGACCCAGGTATAAAAGGTAACTCGATGTAAACTAAATAAACAAGCTTCAGCTACAACATCTTCAACAGTCTTAGCACTCCATGTAGTGGTTAACTGTATTGTCGATACGGCCTTCTCTTTACCATTTCGTTCTATAGGGAAATCCTTTTCATACAATGGGTTTTATTGAAAAAGTAAAGAATATATTATGACACTCTTTAATTAAGATTCTTTTGTTTTTAATTCTTAAATACCCACGGAGACATGTAAAAGGGCACACATATACATGTACCTCCAGTGACAAAGATGAGTCCATTAGTTAGTGAAAAGGAATAGCAAGTCACTATTAAAAAGCATTTATGAGACAATTAGGGAAATTTGGACATTGCATGGGCTTATATTAGAAATCATTACCTTTTTCTGGTGAGATCATGGCAATGTGGTTATGTTGCCGAAAAGGAAGGATTGTTATCTTCTGGAACACATATTGAAGGGCAACAGGTGGTGTGCTTAGGGCTGGGTCCCACATGGCTGACTACACAGTCTGAGCGTCAGACCCGGCAGCTTGAAAAACCCACCAGGTATGCCGTGAGAGAAAAGGGGGGAGAAGGGATTGCGGAGTGAGTATCCCTGATGGAGGGGTGCTTTCTCACTTTCTCTCTCTCAGGTGAGTACACATGCCCTCTAGCAAATTGAACAAAAGAAAAAGAAAGAGATATTGAGTTATTTATGGGTAACATGATAGATTGCCAGAGACTGAGCAGGAAGAAATCCAAGATTGGGGTCAGGCCGGGAAGCGAGGGTACGGGGCTGAAACGTGACTGGCCACATAGTGATCACCGCTGGAGCTGAGACCATAGTCTCTCTACTTGTGAAGCATTTGCAAATGTCCCTGTTAAGAACATAGAAGCAGTCTCGAGTTCACACTCAGGAAGTGAGTCAGTACTTGAAAAACCGAAATACAAAATCAAAAAACGAATATAGTACATTGACCAGCAGCAAAGGTAACTAGGGCATGTTCCCTTTTACTCCAGCAGTCAACAATTAGAGGGGAAAAAATGAAGCATTTGCACTGCTTTTGTATATGCCAGATTTTAGAATAACCACATAATCATAGTCGATGAAGAAAAACTTTACAAAAGCATCCCAGATAATGTTAGGTCATCGGGAAAATCAGGATGTATTTTTCTGTCTAGAAAAAAATCTGGCAAAAAAGTTCACATGAGACTCATCACTCACAATCTTTTTTAAATTTAATTTTATTCATTCATTCGTTTATTTTAATTTGACCAGAGAGAGACACAGAGAGAAATAGAGAGAGAGAGAGAAACAGAGAAAGCAAACCACCAGGTCCAGGACTTGAACCGTGGTCGGCCATATGGGAGTGTCCAGCACCTTAATCACCATGCCACCTGCTGGTCCCCACATCACTCACAATCTTTAGTGGGATTGTTGATTCAAACGAGGCCCAAGAATATATGAGACCATTAGGGTGAGGTGGAGGTTTGAAATTTCTAAGAGGGACCCAGCTTTCCCCTCACGAATCTCCCGATCAATCTTAGCTTCACCGAAAGGAATAAAAACCACGCATCACTCAGCAGAAGCAGCCAGTGTGGATTTCATGGCACCGCCTATGTCGAAGTCTTCCTCAAAGCGCTGACCTGGAATCTCATAATCCTCTAGAGGTGACGAGTTAAATGACAGGACAATTGGCCCTCATTTTTCAGCAAATATACGATTTTTTTAAGAAAATGGGAGAGGAGGTGCCGTGTGGATATGTATGGGGGAGGGCATGTTTTAGATTAAGTTCTAAGAGGCAGAATGAAGCTATGGAGTTATCTTTGAAGTTAAAAATTCTGTCTCAGGCCAGCCCCATAGTCGGGTTAAGGGAGCCAGATTCCACATGGCTGACTGCTGTTGCGATCCCAGCCCCAGCAACTGGAAAACCTCACTGAGTCGTGTGTGTGCCCCAGATCCTGACAGGATGGAGAAATGGGGAAGGAGTTGCGGCGTGACCACTCCCCTCCTCTGTCTCTCTGCCCCGCTCGCTCTCTGGTGAGTATATGTGATCTTTGGCAATTGAAAATAATCTGGCTCAGTATTTGATGACAACGACAAACAATTGTTAGTTTTTTATGTGTAATATGATTATGCAAGGAAATCGCCACTTTTTAGAGAGTAATATTGAAGTATATGAGGATGAAGAGACACGATGTCTGGGATTTGTGTAAAATACTTATGACCAAGAGACATAGATTAAGAAGGGGTGAGAAAAGAGGGGAAAAGCTACCATAGATGAAGCCTGGTAATTGCCAAGTCTGCTAATGGGTGTGTGGAGTTTCCCTCTGCTCTTTTCCCTTCTGCACCGTTTGAAAACCTTTCGGGGGTAGAGACCATTACCGTGACCTAGGAAACAAGGCCCGCTGGTGTTCGCAACAGAAAACCTTCTGTTGTCCCCCTTGAGAGGGGGACGTGGGAGGTTAGTGTCCTCACCAGTCTATTTGTCATACATACGGTTTACAACAGTATTTACTTTAGCCAACACTAACTAAAATACAGATGCAATAAGACCAACTGACAAGTGGGCAAGATACACATTTTTTAATGAAGGTTCTTAATTCAACCAAGTAATGATTCAAATTCAGATAGAGAAGACAACAAAAGAAAAAGTTGGTTTCTTCGTGTCCCAACTACCTTGGTCTTGAGTCCTTGCAAACATTTGGTAATACCTCCCCCAACCTCCCGGGAGTCATGGATTTGCAAAGACAGAGCAGCTAGGGAATTCGGTTTCAGACCTCAGGATGCACTTTGTTGCCCCGGGGGAATTTATAAGAGAGGTAAAACAGCCCACTCAGCAGCATCAGGAAGGCGGCCAGAGCTGCCAGTAAGACGGCGCTGCCAGTTTCCTGAGTGTCCGGCTTGAAGGGCAAGTTGTAGGATGGTGGGAAGGGGATCCCCTCCATGCTTATGACGGAGTAGTAATTCCAGACCACGATGACGGTGATGCAGATACTGGAAGTGATGTGCAGCATTCCCGGGACAATGAACGGGCTGCAGGTGACATTCTTCGGGCGAATTCCCATGCTTATGTTCCTAAGTGCAAGGATGATGGCAGTTTTCCCCAAGAGCCCTAGAATGTTGGCGGCCAGCAGGAGGTGCTGGGAAACGCGAATATCAAGAGGGAGGAAGGTGTCGTGGTAGGGGTACTGGTAACACGATTTGACTTGGTTGGAGTTGCCGCTGCGCTGATAGGTGCAGACTCCCCACATTCCCACGCAGGCCAGGCCCGGTGAGGTGCTCTCCATGTACCAGACTCGCCACTCCACGAGGACCAAGGAGGTAATGGACAGGACCCAGCCTAAGGTGGCCACAGCCAAACCTGCCACCTGGAGAAGGGTACTGTCGACGATCACAGTCATACAGTCATGACGGCAGCGCACTCAGGAAACTGCAAGAAATATAGAATATCGTGGGAACCAGCAGTTAGCGTAATGGCTATGTCGCTGGACTCCCACGTAGTCGACCGCGGTTCGTGTCCTGGACCCGGTGGCTTAAAACTCACGCTGGGCGCGTGTGCGTGTGTGCCCAAGATCCCGAGAGGAGAATGGAGGAGAAGGGATTGCGGCGTGACCATCCCCCCTGGGGGGTGATTTCTCGCTTTCTGTCTCTGTGTCTCTCTCTGTCTGTCTGGCGAGCGCACGCGCCCTACAGTGAAAATCGCTCCAAAAAAAAAAAAAAGAAAACTGTGAGGTGGGGCCCTCGGGTCGGGGGCAGTCCCCGTAGGTGAGCCGTGCCAGCAGGGAAGTGCTGTATTTGAGGAAGGACACGCGGGGCCCTCTCACCCCGCTGCTGGGGTGCAGTCTGAGCAAACTCCTGAAGGACCATTTGGTACATTTTACCAAAAGCACTAAACTTCAGTCAGTTCTACTTCCGGTCTTTGGGCCAAACACATCATTAGGGCTGGCCACAAATATTTAGCCACAAAAATGGTCATCACAGCATTATTGGTAATGTTAAGAAATGGGAAGAGCATCAAGCCCAACCACAGGGCTTGGTTAAAGCCTTGGTTATAGCCACGCGACATTAAAAGTGGCCGTGGATTCCACAGGGTGTGCTGTTCTATGCTTGGCTCTTTTCCCTTAGTGAAATGTTTTCGAGGTTCGCCCATGCTGTAGCATGAAAGTGAAGTCTGGCCCCCTTGACCCATGCATGGGGATACCTGTCTGACTGACTGTTCGTCCATCCCTCGTCTATCAGATGGATTGACTCCATCTGTGAGCAATGCTCTGAACATTCGGATCTGAGACTTTGTGCGGAGATGTGTCCCCGTCTCTTGCACAGATACCTAGGAGTGCAATTCTTGGATCATATAGTAAGTGCACAGTCAATGCTCTACAAATGGCCTGTTTCCCCAACTGGCCACATCACTGTACATTCCCGGTCACACAGCCCAGTGAATTAGGATGGGACAAACACCCATGCAGCCACCACTGTTTAAGATAGACCCTATCACCATTCCCCCCTTTTCTTTAGGGTCTTTTATCATCCCAGCATTCCTGAACACCTTAGCTACATTCTGCCCATTTGGGAAATAGGAATCAGGCAGTAGGCATCCCTGTGTGACAGATGTCTGTTTTGTACAAGTTGAGGTCTAGTTTTATTATTGATTACTGGGTATATATCCTTCTCTTCTGCATCTGTGTTGAACTCTACCTGGCTTAAGCGGTCTTGGCACGATCAGCACTTCACACCCATGAGGACGGCCAAGCAAAGAAAACTAAGTCGTGGCGAGGAGACGGGGAGAGTAGAACCCCTGTTCGTTGCTGGGGAAATGGAAAGTATGGGCCAGCCCCTGGGGAACATCGTGCGGCAGTTCCTTACCAAACTAGACATAGAGTTGCCACGTGAGCCCTCCATTCCACTTCTGAGCATCCACGTGAACGAAGTAAAATTAGGGACCCGAACGCAGCTCTGTACACCCATGTCAGAACGGCTTACTCATGACAACCAAAAGATGGAAACGACCCAGAATCCCTCACATGCTGAATGGGGAAGCAAAATGTGGTTATGTAGATAGTGGAATTGTATTCTTCTTTCTTTCTTTCTTTGGAGAGGTTTTTGCTATAGGGCATGTGCGCTCGCTAGACAGACAGAGAGAGACAGAGAGACAGAGAGAGAGCAATCACCTCCCATGGGGGATGGCCACACTGTAATCCCTTCTCCTCCATTCTTCTCTCGGGATCTTGGGTACACACGCACATGCACCCGGTGTGAGTTTAAGCCACCGGGTCCGGGACGCGAACCGCGGTCGACTACGTGGGAGTCCAGCGACATAGCCATTACGCTAACTGCTGGTCCCAGTCGTATGCTTCTTCTCAACCTCAGAAAGAAAGGAAACTCTGACACGTGCTCATGGGTGAGCCTTGAGGACATTGTGCTCAGTGAAATAAGCCCGTCAGAGAAGGACAAATCGGGGGGATTCCAGAAGTTCGTGGAAAATAGAATTAAAGTATGAATTAATTTTGGTGCTCCCCAAATTGATGCCCATGCCCAAGGTTTTTCATGATGTGCATTTTCACTTTAGCAGGCCAGCTTGAGGTCTAGCAAGACTGCAGCCATTTTGAAATGAAGAGAGGCCTCTAACGAGGACAACTGACCGAGTGCTGAGTCACGGGGCGGTCTGCTGAGGGATGGTCAGATGAGAGACCAGGAATGGGTATTTGAAGAACAGGATTGAGGATAATCGCTCAGAGGAAAGCGACTGACGTTAGTTGGCCGTGGTGAGCAATGATCTCACATGCTGGTACCCGTGAGTACCGAGCACACGCTGAGCTTTTGGAGACGGCGTGGTGGTGCTTGCTGGCCGTGTCCCTGTCACCCAGTTGCCGAAATAAACTGCCTTTTTCCCCAGCTCCTGCCTCTCATTTCTGACCACGAGTAGAGGCAGCTGGACTTAGTTTGCCAGAAACACCGTGACATTTTGGGGACCCCCGTACTGCGTGATTCCACTTCTGTTCAGTACCTAGGGGAGTCAAAGTCCTCGAGACAGAAAGTGGAATGGGGGTTGCCTGAGGCTGGGAGCAGGGGGCCTGGGAGGTGGTGCCTAATGGGCACAGAGTTTCCGAGGGGGAAACTGAACGCGTCTGAAGACGGAGGTGCTGATAGTCACATGGCAGTGTGAACACACATCGTGCCATGACCCGGACACTTGAAAATGGTTAGAGTGGTAAATTTATGTCGTGTATATTTTACCACAACAATAAAAAGTGAGCATCAGGCTAGCAGGTGGTGTGGAGTTAAGGGGGCAGGATTCCACATGGCTGGCTGTGTGGTTGGAGTCCCAAATCTGTTAGCTTGAAAATCATGCCAGGTACGTGTGGGTGTGTGCCCCAAATCCCGAGACGTGAATGGAAGTGAAGGGAAAGACGGGGCGATCCCCTGGGGGTGTAATTTCTCATTCCCCTCTCCCTCTCTCTCTCTCCTCTCTCTCTCTGTCTCTCTTTGGTGACTGCACACACCCTATAGCAAACTAAAAAATAATAGATAATAAAAAGCACAATATCAAAGGACAGAGTGTCTACTAACCAGTGATGCTGCCTTCAAGCGAACGACGCTGCGGGAGGAAGCTCAGCTCCCAGAGCCAGCACGGCTGCCAGGCCTAGCTCCTCTCGGCCATCCTTCCTGACTGCTCGTCTCTGCCTCCTGCCTTCCCTTCAGTTACCACATTCCACTCCCCACTCCTGACCTTCTAAATTCTCGGTTGCTAGGTCACCAATACAATGGCCATACCTACTCTCATTGGCCGCTACTCTATTCTAATTTCTTCTCTTAAAAAATTTTTTTTAGAATTATTTGTTTTAATTTATTTCTTCTTATTATTATTTTAAAATTTGCTATAGGGCATAGGTGCTCACGAGAGAGAGAGAAAGAGAAGAAAAGTGAGAAAGCAAACCACCAGATCTGGGACTTGAACTATGGTTGGCCATGTGGGAGTCCAGCACCTTAACTACTATGCCACCTGCTGGTCCTGAATTTCTTCTCTTTTTAAAAAAGTTTTCTCCTTACCATGATTTAGCATGTAGACACACACCTAACACCAAGAGTGGGAGAGATTAACACCCTCCAGAGCGTCTGGTCACACCACAATCCCTTCTTCCAGTTGGCTAGCTCATCCGATCTTGGGTACTCGCGAGCATGCCCAGCCAGTCTCAGGCTGACTGGGCTGGGATTCTAACTGTGGTCTCCGTGGGGTCCAGCTTCTCAGCAGCACGTTCCCAGCATGCCACAGAGCCGGCCCTGGTTTCTTTGCCCTGCATCCTCTGTTTCCCTGTCAGCCCTTGAGGGTCGGGGCGTTCACCAGAAGCCATCTGAACAATTGGCTCTGTCTCCTCGCCAGAGATGTAACTGCACCCATACCACCAGGAGGGAGTCACATTTTTAAAGCTACCGAAAGTGCTCTACCTGAAAGTGTTCCTCAAACGGCAGGTTACAGTGCTAGGGGTTACAAACGGCAGGCTCTGTGGATGAGGCTGAAGAACAAGCTCCTTTAAAATGGTTTTTTCAAAATAATTTTTATTATGAAATAATTTCAGACTTAACCAGAAAGTTGCAACCTGTTTGCAGACAAATCACTGCACATGTTCACGCAGATCCCCGGAACAGAAAGCACTCATGCAACCGCCATGGGGTGGCTAGCGCTCTCTCCCCACCGCTTCCTCTCCTCGCAGTCCAGCGGCAGTGTCCTCGTCCTTTCCTGCTGCGGGATTTAGGACGTATCCAGGCTCGCAGCTGCAGCTTGCTGTCAGCTTGCCTTCGTTCCCTGTCATTTTACACGCCGGTTTTGCACTACCGTGCGGCCGGCGCCCCAAAGCAAGACCCCATTAGAGCATCGGTCGCTGACTCGCTCGCTGCAACTGCTGCGGGAGGCCTGGGTGTTTCTGTCGTTTGTTCAAGAATCCCCGTCAACTTGGGTGTCCGATCCATGTTTGGCAAGAATCCTTCAGGAGGGAGGTTGTGTCCCCTCCGAGCACCTCGGGCATAATGTCACACGGGGCCCTCCTGGCACGGGCGGTCCTGAAGCCTCCTCCGGCATCTCG